GGTGCTGCGGACCATGGTGCGAGTATCCCTGCTGGCTCTGGTGTCGCTGCTCGGTCTCGGCCGTACTTTGTTCCGCTCCTTCAGCAGGTTCTTGGTCAGCTTCCTCCTCCTTTTCCTCCTCCCTCCTTAGCGTGTCCTCCGCCTGTCCAGCTGCAGTCGGCGTTACCGTCTGCCTCCTCTCTCCCTGGTCCTGCTCCTTACACTGGTCTGACTGGAGGTCTTACTGAGCGGCGTGAGCCTGCGTCTCGTCCTGCGTCGCCTGAGTCTCGTCCTGAGTCGCCTGTCCGCACTGCTCTCTCTAGTAGTCGAGTCCAGCGTCAGCGTCTTCCTGCTGACCCAGGCACTCACCGGATGGCGCTTCGTCCGTCCACTGCTCCACAGCGTGTCCCACTGCCGTCTCCTCCTGCTTCCTCTCTTCCTGCTCTTACTGACCCTGGGTCAGACTCTCTTCGTGCTACTAGTCCTACTGTCACGCGTCTCCTGGCTACTCTTGTCACTGACCCTTCCTTTGAGTCTGCTGTTGCGTCTGCCTTAGTTGCTGAGCTTGTCGACTTTGCTGCTCGCTGTCGTCTAGACTACGCTACTAGCCTAGTTGCTGAGTCTGAGTCTATCTGTCCTCCGTCCGTCGGGGGTGAGTGTGCTCTTGGCACTGACGTCCTTGAGGACAGGTAGGAGGAGTTTGAGTGCTTTGCTGCCGCTTTGCCCCATCTCGTGTCCATGATTGTTGCCCCTGAGGGAGACCCGGATGCACCAGACATCCCGACCCCACGCTCTTACGCAGAGGCGATGGCCGGTCCCTACTCCTCTCAGTGGCAGTCAGCCATGGACACAGAGATGGCTTCCTGGAAGTCCACGGGCACCTACGTCGACGAGGTTCCCCCACCTGGGGCGAACATCGTCAGTGGCATGTGGATTTTCAGGGTGAAGCGGCCGCCGGGCTCTCCGCCTGTCTTCAAGGCGCGTTACGTTGCACGAGGCTTCAGTCAGCGAGAGGGAGTTGACTTCTTCCAGACCTTCTCCCCGACCCCGAAGATGACCACTCTTCGGGTTCTGCTGCACGTCGCCGCTCAGCGTGACTACGAGCTCCACTCGCTTGACTTCAGCACTGCTTTCCTGCAGGGCAGCCTGCACGAGGAGATCTGGCTGCGCCGTCCACTTGGCTTCACTGGGTCGTTCCCTCCTGGTACCCAGTGGAGCCTCCGACGGCCAGTCTACGGTCTCCGCCAGGCGCCCCGTGAGTGGCACGACACACTGAGGACTACGCTTGCGGCTCTTGGGTTCGCGCCTTCTACTGCTGACCCGTTGCTGTTTCTACGCACCGACACCTCACTGCCGCCGTTCTACGTCCTTGTGTACGTCGACGACTTGGTCTTTGCTACTGCTGACACTGTGGCACTCGCCCACGTGAAGTCGGAGCTGCAGAAGAGACACACGTGCACAGACCTGGGTGAACTAACAAGCTATCTTGGCTTTCGGATCACCCGGGACAGAGCACGCCGCACCATCACCTTGACTTAGTCACACATGGTGCAGCAGGTCCTTCAGCGCTTCCGCTTCACGTACTCCTCGCCTCAGGCCACTCCTCTGCCTACCGGTCACTCGCTCTCAGCTCTGCCTTCGGATGAGTCTGTAGAGCCGAGTGGCCCGTATCCAGAGCTTGTGGGTTGCCTCATGTACCTGATGACCTGCACTCGAAGAGACCTTGCATACCCTCTCAGCATTCTTGCACGCTATGTCGCTCCCGGCCGTCACCGGAAGGAGCACATGGATGCAGCTAAGAGGGTGTTGCGCTACTTGTGCAGTACGTCGGGCATGGGGCTAGTGCTTGGAGGGCGAGTCCCAGTTGTTCTCACTGGGCACTCAGACGCTTCTTGGGCAGACGACCAGGCTACTCAGCGGTCGTCTCAGGGTTACTCCTTCAGTCTTGGCTCTGGTTCTGTTTCTTGGCGTTCTACTCGCTCTTCTTCTGTTCTCAGCTCCAGTTGTGAGGCTGAGATCTACGCCACAGCCATGGCGGCCCAGGAGCTACGCTGGCTCACCTACTTGCTGACCGACCTTGGAGAGCAGCCTCGTTCTCCTCCAGTGCTGTACGTCGACAACAAGGCAGCCATTGCCTTGTGTGAGGAGCACAGACTGGAGCACAGAACGAAGCACATTGCTCTGCGTTACTTCCTTGCTCGAAAGCTGCAGCAGCGTGGTCAGCTTCGCCTGCGTTACGTGGCCTCTGAGGCCAACACTGCTGATGTGGCGCGCGGCGGTTTCTTGCTTCGTGTGGCGCCCTGGGGGCCCGCGCGTCGCCCTCCTCCCGTCGCCTCGTCGCGACGCCCTAGGGGCCCGCGCGTCGGCCCCTCCCGTCCCTTCGTCGCGGCGCCTTAGGGGCCCGCGCGCAGGCCCCTCTCATCGCCTCGTCGCGGCGCTTTGGGGGCCCGCGCGCCGGCCCCTCCCGTCGCCTTGTCGCGGCGCCCTGGAGGCCCGCGAGCCGGCCCCTCCCGTCGCCTCGTCGCGGCGCCCTGGGGGCCCACACGCCGGCCCCAACCGTCGCCTCGTTGCGGCGCCTTGGGGGCCCGCGCGCGGCCCCTTCCGTTGCCCGTCGAGCCGCCCTCGTGGGCCCGTGCGCGGCCCCCCTCCCGTCACCCGCTGTGGCGCCCTCGGGGGGCCCGCGCCCTACTTTTTCGTGGCGCCCTTGAGACCCCCCGCTGCCTCCCTTTCCCTCCGTGACCCACCCCTACTGCTTCCCGCGCTCCTACCTGCGTTAGGGTTTGGGGGTGGCGGGTGTGGGGGTGGCGGTTGTGAGTTCCTCCCCTTGCTCCTCCTCCTACCTCGTCTCCCACTGCTGCAGCTGCCGCTGAGGGGGGTGGGTGTGTGGGAGCCTAGGGTTTAGGGTTTAAGGGGGGTGCCGTGGGAGTGGAGCTAGGGTTCAACAGGGGTTTTGTGTCGAGGGTGTGGGGCAGTTGGAGGAGGTTGTGTGAACGTAGCTGTCGTGTCGCCTGTAGCGCCTGTAGTCCGTCGCCCTTGCTTCGGTAGCCAGTAAGTTTGTTGCACCAGTCGCTAGTGGGTCCGTTGCTCCTGCCGCTCGTCTATAGCCGCGGAGCCAGTCACTCCAGTAGTCCGTCGCCCTTGCTTCGGTAGCCACTGAGTCACCCGCTCCTGTGCCCGTGCCTCTGCAGCTTCAGTCGTTGCCTCGCATCTTCTCTCCCTTCACAGTTCCTCCTCCTCCTCACTTGCCCACTGTGATTAACTCTAGCTTTGCTTACTATTGTGAACTCCTGCTATACCTGCTCATTGTGCTGATTACACCCCACTTTGGCTATGGGGGTGTGTCGGAATGTTATAATCTAGCCTGTAGTGGGGTGCTCTATAGCGGGTACAACCCATCTAGGGTTTGCTATATGTTTCCTCATTGCTGCTAGTGAAATCCTTCTTCTTTGCCTAAACTTTCTCTTGCCTAGCAAGGGCTTACCTAGCTATGGCTCCTACTTGTGCCTACTATTCTCACATTACAGCCCAGGGTTGTGGATTCGTCACTGTTTATTTCGTTCAAAAACACAAACCAATTGAGTTGACGATTACACATCTTGAGCTGTCAATGTTTTTTAGCATTTCGAGCACCTACAGACCGATACGCTAAGAGTCCAGAAACCATGTGTGCACAGGTTTGGCTGATCAACAACGGCCGAACCAATGGCAGTCTCGAGACTAACATCTATGGTCGGCAACTAGGATTGCGACTGTAGGGGGCTTGTTAGATGTATCCCGGAAAACCTAGTTCACTCTGCCTATTCAGGTCCATATTACAAATTCAACATCAACCTTCAGGAGTGGGCAAAATAGCTTATGAAATACGCATGGAAGCTACATTGATTATTCTCGACGGCCACTATAATAAGGGTCGACTACGCAACTCAGTGCAACAAGGCTAGTACGATTACCATCTGATAAACTCCTGCTAAACTCACCCTACCGTGTGGTACACACCTCCCGCAGCCCTGTCGGATCCATACTTCTGGGTGCAGGTAGCTGAGTTGTGGTTAGGCTCCAAGCAGGTCCTGCAGCGATAGTTCGCCGGCGGAGCATCCCTGCGCCTGTAGGATGGGGGACGGCCAGGACCCCTACGCGTGAACGTAGGTGCGTCACACACGCCCTGAGGCACATGTGTTGCCTGTGCCATCAGGGTGTTGATGCAGGTCCCGGGAATGGTGTGGGAGTATGTGCGGCGGAGGTTGACTGTGGTGTAGTAGTCGCTAACATACTCCCACCCGTTCTTGTTTGCCCAGGGGAAAAACGCCATGGCATGTGCGCACGGAAAAGCGTACTCTTTCCAATTGCCGCACTCACAGCTACCATCGCCACGTAGGTCGACGTTGTAGCTGCGTGGGGTTGGGTCCGTCGCGTTGCCGTTGTTTATCACCTCCGCGAAGAACTCGATGTTGGAGATTTTCACCTCGTAGTTCTTTCCCCGCTCGCACTTCTCCTCATACCGTTTTCTCCCCCACTCCGTAAAGTAGTCATCCCGGGCTCTAGCCTCCTCACGCCGCTCATGAAGCTTCTTGACGTTGTAGTCCCACATTGATGCTAACAGATACGCGGGTGGCAGACGCCGGATGGATTTTACAGCCCCGTTGGTCGACTCCACCATGTTGCTCGTGTAGATGCCGAATCTTCTCTTTGGTGCCGCACATCGAGCCCACTGCTTCTCGTACACCCAGATTCTGTTCCTGCGTGCAGTGTAATCACCGCGAAGGCCTGTTCGGACACGCACACCATCCTCACCGTCCTCCAGGGAGTCCTCTTCCACGACGGTCGCCTCGTCTTCTACAACGCTAGGCCTCTCCTCGTTGGTGTTCCCAAGCGCCGTTCCCGGGTCCACGGTGGGAGGAGGAGGGTCACAGGTGGCTGCCGCGGTCGGTGGTGGCTGGCGGGTGGGTGCCGCGGTCGGTGGTGGCTCTCGGTTTGGTGCCTGAGTTGGTGAGTTGACTCCCGGGACCGCAGCTCTCAGAACAATGTTGCCAAAGCTAAAGCACGTAGCTGTTCCTCGCCATCCGCTCGCACGGCTATCGGTGAAGATCGTCGAAGTGGAGTCGGCTCCGGCTGGGAAAAGGATGGTGCGGTTGTTCCTGCATGATGGGGTGCAATAGAGACACGGAAAAAAAAATTATGGCTGTGTGTTTTGCGGCACCAAATGAGCAGTACCCTATCAATCTAAGACGGCCTCTCATGTATGAGACCTTTACACAAATATGTAAAGATCACATCGTGGATGTAGGCGTTACGACCACACATATCATGGTATTAAAGAACGGAGGGGCGCATTGACAAACCGTTGTTCAAACGAACCTGTTGCAGCGGATGGGTCGTACAGAGTGGATGGTGACAGCGCTCCGGATGGTCCTTCAGTAGCCACCGGGCCAGGGGTTGCAGAGGGCCTCCGCACTGCGGGTGGGCTTGGCACTGCGGATGAGGCTGGTGCAGCGGAAGGGTGGGTCGCAGAAGCGCGTGACGGTGTTGCGGATGAGGCTGGCGCTGCGGACGGCCCTGGCGCTGCCGATGGGCACGCCGACCCGGATGATGCAGGAGCCCCGGATGTGTGTGGAGCTGAATTGGGTGTCGGTGCTGTGGACGGGCGGGGCGCTGCGGACGGCCCTGGCGCTGCAGATGGGCTCGGCGTTGCGGACGATGCATGTGCTGCGGCTGGGCGGTTCGCAGCAACGGGCGACGGTGCTGTGAATGGGCGGGGCGCTGCGGACGGCCCTGACGCTGCAGATGGGCTCGGCGCTGCGGACGATGCATGGGCTGCGGCTGGGCGGTTCCCAGAAGCGGGCGACGGTGCTGAGGACGGGCGGGGTGCTGCGGACGACCCTGGCGCTGCAGATGGGCCGGGCGCTGCAGATGATGCAGGTGCCGCGGACGGGCGGGCCGCAGGTAGCAGGTGCCGGTGCCGTGGAGTGGCGGGGCGCTGCTGAATGCCCTGCCGTTGCGGCATTCGGAGGTGGGCATCCTGCGCCGCTCTGTCTCTGTCGGCGGCCGCGTCGCTGCGACTGTGCTTGGCGAGCACGCCGCCGTGCTTCAGCCGCTTTGGCCGCAATGTTGTTGGCGGTTGCACGCGTCCGGCGTGTTTGCTGAACGTTGCGTCGGCGAATACGAAGGCCAGCTGGTGGAGTGGGGTTTGGCCCAGGCGCGTCGAGCACAGGCGCCGTACCGTAGAGGTAAGTCGTGAGCAGGGGATGGGATTCACGTGCACCGACCTTGAGCTCGTTGTACTTGTCCAAAGACCGGGCTGTCAAAAGCCGCCATATCATGTCCGCGGAAGTCTTGCCGAACCGCTTCACGTTCTGCTGCATGTGCCACCCACAGAAGTAGTGCGCCACCTTCTCAGGGAACACTTCCTTCACCGCCGGGATGAGACCTTTGTCCCGGTCGCTGATGATGGCCGCGTCGTCCCGTCCCTTCCAGTCGGAGCAGTGCTTATCAAAGAGCCGGCAAAACCAAGTCCACGTGTCCTTGGTTTCGCTATCTACGAGCGCCCACGCGATGGGGATGATCTGCTGATTGCCGTCCATCGCGTTGGCGTACAGCAGAGTAGCCTTCTGAGCACGATTCAGGAAAGTCCCATCCAGTGCGATGACAGGCCTGCACGTCTTCAGTGCTTCGCGTGTTGCACTCGGTGCCATGAAGAAGCGGAGAAATTCGTGGTTGTATGTCAAAAGCTCCACGGTTGCTCCGCTGTCGATCTGCCGAATGCGCTCTTGCACCGCCGGAATGTAGCGGAATGACTCGCACCAGTCGCCGAATCGTTGCGCCGTGATGCCTACCTTCAGCCTGCGTGGGTGGAATGTATGGGTGGTATCGGGAAATGAGTGAAGTGGAGGCAACACAGTCGCTAAAAGAAAAGCTCCCTTGATGTTCGGCCTTGGACGGGTGTACGCTCACCGGTAGGCGTTGTTGTAAGTTAACTTCGGACCAGAGCATGCCGTAATCTGCCGGGCGTAGTCCCAAGGGGCGTTGAACGGCGCTGCACGGACGAAGTTCCCGAATTTCCGCCAAAGGTACTTCCTCTTACGTCCCATACCGGGCCACCACCGGGTCCGGTAGACACGGTCGCATGTGTGCTCTGCGGGATCGGACAGCTCAACGATTCGCCACGGTCCGTTCCGCTCGAGACGAGCGTAGCTGCACCGCCATGGACAAGGGGGGTCCAACCCAAGCTTCTGACTCTTGCACAATGCTAGCGCCGATGCCCTTCTGGTAGACTTCATGTAGAAACCGTATTTATGCACTACCGCATCATCAAGCAAGGCAAAGAGGCAATGATCCCGCGATGAGTACCAGTTATCCTCCTGAATGGCAGCGTTGTCATTGATTGTAGGCCCCTCCTCAGGTTCAAACTCTATGTCGAACTGCTCCAGGATAATGTCATACATGTCACGGCCATTAGCCGGAGGTTCCTCCATTGCGGCTCTGATACAACACCTAGGTTATCCACGCGCAATTTGTAGATGATCATCCGCTGGCCGGGTTTTTTAACGGCGAGACACGAGCACATGATTATGCCATGTAGAACTGCATCTGGTGTTGGAGTATGATGGACTCGGAATCCCTGACAACAATTCAATAGTCAGTCCCAGGTGGCATAATCCTGGCAGTGGTTGCCACCGGTGCGTATCGTCAGAAATCGCGGCGAATGAATTGTGTTATGATCGCTGGCGCGTTTATGACCAAATTCTGAACACATTATACCCAATCAAGGCCATACGAGTGGCATGTATATGTACAAGTGGCGAGATGATTGGAAATATGAACGGACCGTTCAGAAACGCGCCAAGCCGCCGCCAACACAACGATTCGCATGCATTCTTGCATGACGTGTTTGTCGCAAGTACTCGCACGTGGAAGCTAGTTCAGAACGACAGAGTTCAGAACGACAACAATTCAATAGTCAGTCCCAGGTGGCATAATCCTGGCAGTGGTTGCCACCGGTGCGTATCGTAAGAAATTGCGGCGAATGAATTGTGTTATGATCGCTAGCGCGTTTATTACCAGATTCTGAACACATTATTGACGAGTCAAGCAAAGCAAAGCAAGCTCAGGGTGGATCACAAAGTCACCACACATTCCGAGCACAAGTTCAAAGGCTACAAGGCCAGTTCACATGTAGAAGTACATATATATATATAGGGTTTGAGGCGAGGAGTACGTGAAGCCGAAGCGCTGAAGGACCTGCTGCACCATGTGTGACTAAGTCAGGGTAATGGTGCACTGTGCTCTGTCCCGGGTGATCTGCAAGCCAAGGTAGCGGCGCAGTTCACCCAGGTCTGTGCACGTGTGTCTCTTTTGCAGCTTGGACTTCACGTGGGCGAGTCCAGCAGTGTCAGCAGTGGCAAAGACCAGGTCGTCGACGTACACGAGGATGTAGAACGGCGGCCAAGAGGTGTCGGTGCGTAGAAACAGCGACGGGTCGGCTGTAGAAGGAGCAAACCCAAGAGCCGCAAGTGTAGTCCTCAGTGTGTCGTGCCACTCACGGGGCGCCTGGCGGAGACCGTAGACTGGCCGCCGGAGGCTCCACTGGGTGCCAGGAGGAAACGACCCAGTGAAGCCAGGAGGGCGGCGCAGCCAGATCTCCTCGTGCAGGCTGCCCTGCAGGAAAGCAGTGCTGAAGTCAAGAGAGTGAAGCTCGTAGTCGCGCTGAGCGGCTATGTGCAGCAGCACCCGAAGAGTGGTCATCTTCGGGGTGGGAGAGAAGGTCTGAAAGTAGTCAACTCCCTGCCGCTGACTGAAGCCTCGAGCCACGTAACGCGCCTTGAAGACAGGCGGAGAGCCCGGCGGCCACTTCACCCTGAAGATCCACATGCCACTGACGATGTTCGCCCCAGGTGGGGGAACCTCGTCGACGTAGGTGCCTGTGGACTTCCGGGAAGCCATCTCTGCGTCCATGGCCGACTGCCACTGAGAGGAGTAGGGACCCTCGATCGCCTCAGCGTACGATCGAGGAGTCGGGATGTCTGGTGCATCCGGGTCTCCCTCAGGGGCAATCAGCGTGGACACGAGATGGGGCAAAGCCGGCGCAAAGCACTGGAACTCCTCCTGCCTGTCCTCAAGGACGTCCGTGCTAAGAGCACACTCACCCCCGACGGACGGAGGACAGACAGACTCAGACTCAGCAACAAGACTGGCAGCGTAGTCTAGACGACAGCGAGCAGCGAAGTCAACAAGCTCAGCAACGAGAACAGACGCAGCAGCAGACTCAAAGGAAGGGTCAGTGACGACACTAGCAAGAAGGCACGTGACCGAAGGACTAGCAGCACGAAGGGAGTCAGACTCCGGGTCAGCAAGAGTAGGAAGAGAGGACTCTGGAGGAGACGGCAATGGGACACGCAGAGGAGCAGTGGAAGGACGCAGTGCCATCTGGTGTGTGCCGGGGACCGCAGGAGGACGCGGACGTGAAGTACGACCACTAGTGCGAGCAGCACGAACAGGTGACGCGGGACGAGACGCAGGCTCACGACGCTCAGCAAGACCTCCAGTAGGACCAGTGTAGGGAGAAGGAGCAGATAGAGGGGAGGCGGGCGGTAACTGTGACTGCGACTGGACAGGCAGTGGACACTCTAGGGGAGGAGCAGGACTAGTAGAGGGCCGGAGACCAAGAACCTGCTCGAGGAGCGGAACGAAGTACGGCCGCGGCCGCTCAGCGCCTCCAGAACCAGCAAGTACGGCACCAGTACCCCCAGCGGTAGCACCAGCGCCAGCAGAACCTCCAGCTCCAACAGCGCCAACTCCAGTACTCTCAGAAGCACAAGCGCCAGCAGCACCGCCAGCGTCAACACCCCCAGCAGCTCTAGCTCCAGTAGCACCAACCCCAGTAGGACCGTCAGCACCAGCTGCCTCAGCAGCACCCCCAGACGCACCAGCACCAGTAGAAACACCAGCGCCAACACCCCCAGCAGCTCCAGCTCTAGCAGCACCAACTCCAGTAGGACCATCAGCACCAGCTGCCTCAGCAGCACCCCCAGACGCACTAGCACCAGTAGAAACACCAGCGCCAACACCCCCAGCAGCTTCAGCAGTACCCCCAGACTCAGCAGCACGTCTCCAGCGGCGGGCGAACCACACGCGCAGCTCCTGTGGAGAGAGCGGCTCCCGCCTCGACGAAGTACCGCCGGCGGCCACACGAGCAGACCCAGCACCCCCAGGCTCCGCACCCCCAGACTCAGCACCCCCAGGCTCAGCACCCCTAGTCTCAGCACCCCCAGACTCAGCACCCCCAGACCCGGCACCCGCAGACCCGGCACCCGCACGCCCAGCACCTCCAGCCGCACCAGAGTCAACAGCTACCTCGACAGGCTCGACTGCGTCTACCTCGAACACACCTGAAGGGGCAGGACCCTGAGGAGGGAGGGGGTCTACCTGGGTAGCACCTGGCGCAAGGAAGAGCGGCGGCGGGGGGAGGGGCGCAGTGCGGTAGGGGAAGAGACGGTAGTAAGGCACCCACTCGTCAAACGTGACGTCCTGGGAGGACAGAACACGGCGCGTGGTGGGGTGGTAAAACTGCCAGCCAGGCGCGTCAGGGGGGAAGCCAAGGAAGACGCAAGGAACAGCACGGGGGGAAAGCTTGTCCGCAGACAAGTCGCGGACAAACGCCCGAGATCCCCAGACCCGAAACGCAGACGCATCACCAACCTTCCCTGTCCACCGCAAGGCGGGGGAGGTCTCTGGCAAGGAGACCCGGGGCTGAAGGTTGAGCTGATGCGCGGCGTACTGGACCGCAAACGGCCACAGAAAATGGGGGGCAGCCGCATGCATCATGGATGTACGCGCGACGTCCATGACCATACCAATGCGGCGCTCAGCAATCCCATTTTGCTGTGGAGAGGCCGGAAGCGTGAAGGTCTGGCGGATGCCCTGTGCCCGACAGAAGGCTCACAGACAGGCAGAGAAAAACTCCCCTCCTCTGTCCGAGTGCAGACGCAAAACAGGAAAGTCCGAGCCGAAACTCTCTCTGAGCTGGAGACGAGCTGCGCGGATCCAGTCGATCAACACCTCAGTGGCGTCACCCTTGCTGCAGGGGAAGACTGTGGTGTAACGCGAGTAGTCGTCAACGACCAGCAGAAAGTACCGCTCTCTCCCCTGCCCACTGACGCGGGCTGGGCCCCACACATCCATGTGTAGAGTCTGTAGCGGAGCCTCTGTCGGAGGAAACTCGGAGGAGTGAGGGGCGGCGCGCTGTCGCCCCTCAACGAAGGGGACGCAGGTAGGGCCAGGCCCCGGAGGAAGAGGAGGGAGGGACCGAGGAAGACCACAGACAAGGACACGGGAGGCCATGCCTCGGAGACGAGGCAAGGAGGGGTGACCAAGGCGGTGGTGCCAAAGGAGAGTCTGGTGGGACAGCAGACGACACGAGCAGGGGGCAGACTCAGGACCAGACCTGGACGCCGCAGCAAACACCTGACTCGACGCAGCTACCTGGGCAGACTCAGCAGAAGGAGGAGACTCAGCAGTAAGGGTGTACAGGCTCGACCCTGGCCGACGGGTGAACGTGGCCAAGTGTCGGCCTGTCCGAGCACACGTGCAGTGGGTCACTCGCTGACTCGCAGGAGTGAACTGGTCAACCCCTCGATCCTGTAGGTCCGCTCCAATCACCAAGTTTGTAACGAGGGGAGGTAGAGACCAGACAGGGTGCCAGAGGGGGCTGCAGGGCACGGAAGGACAATGGAGAAGCTAGCAAGGACATGACTCCCAGAGGGGTCTGCTAGGGAGACTGCAACCGGCCAACTGAGCGGCGTAAGAGTGGTGCGGTCTCGAAAGAAGGAGCGGGACGCACCCGAGTCCAAGGTGAAGGTGTGGAAGGCCTGAGCCGACGTAGTACATGAGAGAGCAGACTCACCAGCACCTGGGGCGGCAGACGCTCTGGCACCTGGGGCAGCAGACGCACTAGCACCTAGAGCAGCAGTCTCACCAGCACCTAGCGCAGCAGCCGCAATGTCCGGGTCAGGCGGTACACACAGGTAACAGGCACCCTCAACACTATCAGCAACAGCATACATGGCAGCAAGAATAGTATCAAAGTCAAGATCAAAGATAGCAACCCCGGCCTTAGCCAGATCTCCCCAGCGAGGGATCTCTGACGCCTCAGGGAACTGGCGACGCCACGCATCCGTCAGACGACCAAAGCAGCGCTGGGTGGAGTGCGGACCCCCGCACTGCTCACCAGTGCGGTCGCCGGTACGGAGAACGTAAGAGCATGGACCAAAACCCCCACCGTGCTGGCGTGCAGTGTACCACTCACGAAGCTGCTGAGGGGACAGGGTCACACCACTCCGCTGCTGCTGCTGGCGCTGACCACCACCGGCGCCACTCCTCGACGCAGAGTCGCGACTCGCTCCACCACCGCCGCCTCCGCCGCCGCCGCCGCCTCTGCCGCCTCCGCCGCCTCCTCCACCTCCGCCTCCTCCACTACCTCCGCGGCCTCCGCTCCCTCCGCCACCTCCACCGCCTCCGCCGCCTCCACTGCTGCCGCCGCCGCCGCCACCCCCAGCACCACTCCCACCACCACCCCCACTCCCTCCACCGCCTCCACCACCACCTCCACCGCCCCCTCCACCTCCTCCAGTGCCCTTGCCCCCCTTGCCCTTGCCGGTGCGGCGTCTCCCGCTCGGGGCAGACGCAGCGCCGACCGACTCGAAACCAACGAGGTCGGCCGCAGCAGCAGAGGCAACAGAGGGCAAGAGGGGGGAGGGAGAACACCCCTCAAAGACGGGGGTGCGAGGGTCACCACAAGAGGCTCCTACAGCGACTATGCTCTTCTCTATCGCTAGGAGGGCCTTCTCGAGGAGGTCAACGGTGAGAGTGGTGGGGCAAACAGAGAGGAAGTGGTCCCTGACTACACGGAGAGAGTCAGGGAGACGGGTGATTATGTAGTAGAGGGTGATGTACATGGGGGGGGGGTTCTTGGCACAGAACTCAGCAGGAAGCGCAGCACGGTAGCGAGTGTCACTAGTGCGGAGATGCGTAATAAGGTCAATGACTGTGGGAAAGGCAGTAAGGTCAGGGAAGAGGTACGGTAGCATGAGGCGGCTCAGTGCAGCAGTGGCAGGGGAAGAGTAGCGTGCAACTACAGCGTCGTACAAGGTCTGAGCACTCTTGTACTGGCTAAAGTGTGCACGCTCAGTGGTCGGTAAGTGGCGGCGCACAGCAAGGCGAGCAGCAGCGTCACGTGTGGCCCATTGTGAGCGAACAGTGGCGTCAGCATCAGCAGCAGGGGCAGGGGAGGCACCAGAAGTGAGGTCAAACAGGGAGAGGCCGTCTGCCCTATCGCACTGCAGGAAAAGCTGCAGATCATCTACCCAGACCTCAAAGTCCGCTGCCCGACCCTCAGCGTCAAAGGTGAGAACGCTAGGGGAAGCCATAACAGCAGGAGGCAGGGTAGTGTAGTGGCAAAGACTGTGCTCTTACCAGGTAGGTGGAGCGATCTGGCTGCTCGGCGGCTCGGCTATCGGGCGACTCGGCTGCAGGGTGGCTCGGCTGCTGGGCGGCTCGGCTGCTGGGCGGCTCGGATGCTGGTGCTGGGCGGCTCGGCTGTCGGGCGGCTCGGCTGCTGGGCGGCTCGGCTGCTGGGCGGCTCGGCTGTCGGGCGGTTCGGCTGCTCGGCGTTGCGGGCGCTGGGAGGCGGGGTCGCAGGTGGTGGCAAGGTCGCAGGTGGCGGCGGGCCGCAAGGGTGGGCGGGGCCGAGGTGGCGACGGGGCCGAAGTGGGGCCTAAGTGGGGCCGTAGAGGGGGCCGACGGGGCCGAAGTGGGGCCGTAGCGGGGCCGCAGTGGGGCCCAAGCGGGGCCGTAGCGGGGTCGTAGTGGGGCCGTAGGGGGGCCGACGGGGCCGACGGGGCCGTAGCGGGGCCGTAGCGGGGCCGTAGCGGGGCCGTAGCGGGGCCGACGGGGCCGTAGCGGGGCCTAAGCAGGGCCGTAGCGGGGCCGACGGGGCCTAAGCGGGGCCGTAGTGGGGCCGACGGGGCCGTAGCGGGGCCGTAGCGGGGCCTAAGCGGGGCCGTAGCGGGGCCGACGGGGCCGTAGCAGGGCCGTAGCGGGGCCGACGGGGCCGTAGCGGGGCCGTAGCGGGGCCTAAGCGGGGCCGTAGCAGGGCCGACGGGGCCTAAGCGGGGCCGTAGCGGGGCCTAAGCGGGGCCGTAGCGGGGCCGACGGGGCCGTAGCGGGGCCGTAGCGGCCTAAGCGAGGCCATAGAGAGCGACTCAAGGGGCAGTAAGGGCGGCCAATAGGGGCCACTAAGGCAGCTCGAGGCGCTCCGGGCAGGGAAGGAAAAAAAAAAAAAAAAAATCGTGGTGGGCCCTAGGCAGTATTCCCACTCAGGAACCTGCTCGATACCATGACGAGAAGTGAGAATGGAATGAATGAACTATGAAACAGTTGGGTACAAGTACTAACCCTAATTGGGTTGTACCCCTTATGGGCTACCCCACTACAGCCTACACAAATGTATAAGCTATAATGTTCTGACAATTATACCCAATCACGCCCATACGAGTGGCATGTATATGTTAAAGTGGCACGAAAATTGGAAATAGGAACGCACCGTTCAGAAACTCGCGAAGCCGCCGCGAACACAACGATTCGCATGCATTCTTGCATGACGTGTCTTTCACAAGTACTCTCACATGGAAGCTAGTTCAGAACGACAGAATTCGACCGAGTCGCCCGACAGATGAAGTTGTGTAGCGCAGGTTCACGGTAACGTCTCTGTAGATGCGCCTAGCACGCCCGATAGAATGGTTAAATAACACTGGCCAGTGCTGTGTTGCCACGTTCAACCCCACAAGCCTCCATTCCCCCACTGTTGTGAACCGAAACTGATTGCCGAACCTGGACGCGCCACACGCTCGCCGAACCGACTTCTACAATGTCGGGAGAGAAATGCCCAATATGATGATACTGCGTGGCAGGGAAGTTCAATGTCAACCAGCGAACTGCGCAAAGACAATTTGGAACCCACAAAAAAAAAAACCCTCATAATGGTTAAAGCCCAAGACCTGAATTATAAAAAAAGGAAGGCAAACTGTGCACAGTTTGCCTACCGAACCCACAGTTGACCTCCCGAGCCAGGCTGGTTACCAGAAAACATTGCGCCAAGAAACACAGAGTCGTAGAGCAGAACAGGTTTGGTTGGCGAGAGTCCCAACCACACCCTCCTGAAGGAACAAGGGCTCAAAATGTGCACAGTTTGCTTTCTTCGGTAATTCAGGTCGTGTGATTTCCATAGTACGCAAAGCGATTAGAGTATGCGAAGAGATAGAATAAAACGCCACTACAGCATAGGCCATGAGCATTTTCACTTTTATTCCTAGCTCTTTCCCAAACATCGCATTTGGACCTATCGCCTTCCGCGTCCCCCACGCTTCTCCCCACCGTCTCTCACACACCTCCCCACGCACACGCCCACTCTTCCCACCGTCGCCCAAGCTTTCCCCCACCGTCGCTCACGCTTCCCCTTATCGCCGCTCACGCTTCCTCCGGCCTTCCCCCACACCGTCGCTCACGCCTTTCCCCACCTTCCCTCACGTTTCCCCTCTCATCGCCCACGATTCCTCCCACCATCGCCCACGCTTCGGAGCACCGTCACCCACGCTTTCCCCACCGTCGCCCACGCTTCCCCCGACCGTCGCCCACGCTTCCCCCCACCGTCGCCCACACTTCCCCCCACCGTCGCCCACGCTTCCCTCCACCGTCGCCCACGCTTCCCCCCACCGTCGCCCTCGCTTCCCCCCACCGTCGCCCACGCTTCCCCCCACCGTCACCCACGCTTCCCCCCACCGTCGCCCACGCTTCCCCCCACCGTCGCCCACGCTTCCCCCCACTGTCGCCCACGCTTCCCCCCACCGTCGCCCACGCTTCTCCCCACCGTCGCCCACCGCCACCGTCGCCCACCGCCACCGTCGCCCACCGCCACTGTCGCCCACGCTTGCCCTCCCATCGTCCTCGCTTAGCCTTCCCGCCGACCTCCCTTCTCTCCTCCTCTCTCCACGTCGTCATCACTCCCCTGCCCATCACGTTCCCCCTATTCACCATCGCTTCTCTACCCATGCCGCCCACCCTCTCATCCCTTCCCATCGCGTGGGGTGTGGGAGGGTGCGTGGTCAGCAGCACCCTTCCGTCGCATACACGTTCATTCATTACCCCTTCCCTCATCTCCCCATTCCTCATCTCCCCATTCCTCATCTCCCCTTCCCTCATCTCCCCATCCCTCACCTCCTCATCCCTCACCTCCCCATCCCTCTCCTCCCCAGCCCTCTCCTCCCCATCCCACACCTCCCCATCCCTCATCTCCTCATCCCTCATCTCCCCATCCCTCATCTCCCCAATCCGCCTCACCCCATTCCGCCCCGCCCCACCCCATTCCGCCCCACCCCTTTCTGCCCCACTCCATTCCGCCCCACCCCTTTCTGGCCCACCCCATTCCGCCCCACCCCAGCCTCCTCCCCACCCTCCTCCCCACCCTCCTCCCCACCCTCCTCCCCACCCTCCTCCCCACCCTCCTCCCCACCCTCCTCCCCACCCTCCTCCCCACCCTCCTCCCCACCCTCCTCCTCACCCTCCTCCCCACCCTCCTCCCCACCCTCCTCCCCACCCTCCTCCCCACCCTCCTCCCCAGCCTCTCTTCCTCCCCTCCCTTCTGCTTCTCCCCCAAGCGTCCTCCCTACCTCCCTTCCTCCCATCATCACTTCCTCCCTTCCTTCATTCCTGCATTCCTCACTTCCTCCCTTCCTCCGTTCCTCCCTTCCTCATGTGCCAGTTGTCATTCCCTTATACTTCAGCCACGTCACATCTGACTTCTTGATTTGTGTTTGGACAGGTCTGCTCTGCATCTGGTTGTGCATGTGCTAGCTGTCTGATAGTAACACACGTATAGCCATGCCATATATTGGATTCTTTTTTTATAATACAGGATTATGAGCCTCAGAGCAATCATACACATGACCAATACCAAGGAGTTCAACAATTAATATATTACCGTATCTGTAAAGTAAGGGGAATCACCAGACTCGAGAAGGGAACAAAGCTAGGGGGTGTATGTGTAATGTTGTTTTCCGGTTTTGTCTGCTACACTGCAAGCAATAAACCAGGCTGTGGTAAAGCCACATCTGGTGCTGAGCACCTGTAACTGCATTGGGGGGTATGGGGGTGAGTGATGGGGGAAAGACAGTAAACGGAATGAGCAGAGGGGAAGAGAAGAAGCAGCAGGGGACAGATTGAACAGAGGGGAAGAGAGGAAGCAGGGGGGAACAGAGTGAGCAGAAGTAAAGAGAGTGAGCAAGGGGGAAGAGAGTGAGCAGAGAAGAAGGGGAGGGAGCAAGGGTGAAACAGAGGGAGCAGGGGTGAGCAGGGAAGGCGATAGGGGGAAGCAGGGAAGGAGATAGGGGGAAGCAGGGAAGGGGATGGGGGGGAGCAGGGAAGGGGATGGGGGTGAGCAGGGAAGCGGATGGGGGGATGCCGGGAGGGGGACGGGGGAAGGAGGGAAGGGGACGGGGGGAAGCAGGGAAGGGGAAGGGGGAAAGCAGGGAAGGGGATGGGGGGGAGCAGGGAAGGGGTTGGGGGGAAGCAGGGAAGGGGATGGGGGGAGCAAGTCGGAGGATGGGGGGAAGCAGCGCAGGGGATACGAGGAAACAGGGAAGAAGGGAAGGGTGTATGTGCGGGTTGGAAAGGGGGCGTAACAAGTGTGCGAGATGGGAAGGGAGAAGGGAGGGATGGCGAGGGCAACGAGGAGTGGAAGGGAGGGCGACGGGGAAAACGAGGGCGACGGGGGGAGAGAGAGACGGGGATTGCGAGGGGACGAGCGCAAGACGAAGGGGGGCAACGTGCGGAAGGGAGGGAAAGAGAGCGTGAAGGGGGAAAGAGAGTGAGAAGGGGGGAAAGAGAGTGAGCAAGGGGAAAGAGAGTGAGCAGGGGGGGAAGAGAGTGAGCAGAGGGGGAGAGAGTGAGTATAGGCGTGAGTTGGGAAAACAGGGGCGAGCAGAGAGGGTAAGAGAGCGTGAAGGGGGGAAATGGGTGAGAAATGGGGAAAGTGGGGTTAGAACAAGGGGAGTGAGCAGAGGGAAAGAGAATGAGGTGGGGGGAAGCGAGTGAGCAGGGGGAAAGAGATTGAGGAGGGGGGAAGCGAGTAAGCACGGGGGAAGAGAGTGAGCCGGGGGGAAGAGAGTGAGCAGGGGGGAAGAGAGTGAGCAGAGGGGAAAAGAGTGAGCAAGGGGAAAGAGAGTGAGCAGGGGGGAAGAGATTGAGGAGGGGGGAAGCGAGTGAGCAAGGGGGAAGAGAGTGAGCAGGGGGGAAGAGAGTGAGCAGGGGGAAAGAGAGTGAGCAGGGGGGAAGAGAGTGAGCAGGGGGAAAGAGATTGAGCAGGAGAGAGTGAAAGGCAATGGGAGGGGAAGTGAAGGTGACGGGTGGGGAAGCGAGTGTGACGGGAGGGGGAAGTGAAGGCGACGGGAGGGGGAAGTGAAGGCGACGGGAGGGGGAAGTGAAGGCGACGGGAGGGGGAAGTGAAGGCGACGGGAGGGGGAAATGAAGGCAACGGGAGGGGGAAATGAAGGCGACGGGAGGGGGAATTGAAGGCGACGGGAGGGGGAAATGAAGGCGTCGGGAGGGGGAAGTGAAGGCGACGGGAGGGGGAAATGAAGGCAACGAAAGAGGGGGGGAGTGAAGGCGACGGGGGAGAAGTGAAGGCAACGGGGGAGAAGTGAAGGCGACGGGCGGAGCGAAGGCGACGGGCACGCGACGAGCTGCGGAAGCGATGGCGACGACGCGGGCGAAAGAGAGCGGAAGCGTAGGAAAGGAAAGCGAGGGCGAGGGGAGGGTCACGTTTGGGCGAACGGTTGCGATTCGATTTTCGCCACGAGTTTACGCTACGGAGTAGTTGCACAATAACCTGCATTTCGACACAATAATCTTCACCCAACGCAAACTAGCTTTGCGCGTCATCATTGCAAATCCGCGCCACCCAAATCATATGGCGCATCTACTCCCTTTTGAGTGAACGCCGACGCCCTGCCCTGTCTACAGGTATGGTCTATGCCTAATACTCTGCGTGCTATCCCAAACTGTGCAGAGTTTGATAAGCTCGCGCTTTTCTGGTTGTGGGAAGGGCACCAACCATCATGGGAAGCGAGAAACTTTTGTCGCAAATTGGTTTCGCGATTGAAAATCTCTCGCAACCCAACCGAACCTCTCCGTGCCTGCCTCCCGAACCTAGTTTTTAGCTTGGGTCTTGAGTAATTCAGGTCTTGGGCTTTAAATAAAACTAAATCTGGGGAGCGCGTACCGCTCGCGATAGAAGGTGGATGGTACGCGATGAAAAAAATTCGGGTTGTGTAGAAATTTGAGCGCGATGAAAAAAATTCGCGAGGGCAAAGCCCGCGCCGCGGCAATTCTCTCAGTATTTCCTGAGAACCTCGACGCGCTTCGTCAGAAGTTTGAGCTCTACCTGCGGTATGAGGCCGCTTATATATACGGACCCTTCTCGTTTAGTGCGTCGTGAACCCAACATGTCGTGAGCCGTCACGGGCTATCATTATTCATGTGGCGTGAATGTCCATTGTACCCTGGTTTATTGCTCCCTGTCCACTCCATAGCACTGACAGGGCGCGTGGTCCCCTCGTTTGGTCCCCTAATTCTGGTACATGCATCGCGTCGTCTTGGAAGAGACTCGCTGTTTTAGTCTGGCCGTGCCAAGAGCAGTTTCCCTGCTTTTATTTGATCCTCGCCAATATAGTCTGCATCACTTCACTCATTAATCAGGTGGACGCGATAGTAGCACGACATGATTCTTCATAAGGTGGCACCTCGTGGCTGGTCAGTCGAATTTGTTGTAAATAGAGTATGGACCGGTGGACGAGCCTGGAAGGAAGGATCCAGGAACCTTCTGTTCACAGCACCTGCAGGAGTGATGCGTGATGCCAGCTTGACGCGGCAACGGCACGTGCTGACGTGTCTACGACTGATGCCTGATCAGGGGCCGCGTTCCAGCCAAGGAGAATTGAGGAATGCACGCTCAGGCGCAGACGCTGAGCTTATGACACGTGGCACAACGCCAATATTTCCAGTCCTCCACATGTTCCCCTCATGTGACTTACCATTGAAGCGTGCGTATGGGAGCGGGAAAGCGATGCGGCAGGAGCAGAAGAGCAGCAGGAAATATGTACATGTTAAGCGTTTCATCGCGTGTCAACTGGTGACGTCACGAATTCGCTGTTCCACGTCAGCAGCAACAGCCCTGACGTGTGGTGGTCCCTCCCTGACGGCATCTCTGAGAGACTGCCATTGCCTCCCGGACGCTGGCAGAAAATAGAGGTGCGCCGGGAGGGTTGGGAGATTGGGGAGGTGCGGGTGGGGTGGGGGTACCTGTTGAGCGGAAAGAGAGAGTACATACTGGAAGAGGACATTTGAGGCGTTACTAAGAGATCGGTGTTGTTTGGAAAGAAAAAAGTGGTAGTTATGGCACTAACTTTTCCTTGATTGAGTTAGGAGGCTCCTCGCACCCTCCATCTCCTGACCTGTTGTGTTGTGTTCCCATGGTTTGTCAAGCCCCCTCCCTAACCACCATGCTCACTCGGATCCCCAGGTGTTCCCTGTTCTGCTCTCACTCTCCCTTTCACCCACTGCCTCTTGCAACCCCTCCCTCCCTTGCTGTCGCTTGCTCTCGGTGTTGCTGCTATCCGTCCTGTCAGGAGGTATCAAATCGGATGGGGGTCCACTTGTCCCCTGACCTGCTGCTGCGATGCCTGGTCAGTGCTGCTGCCATGCCTTCACACACATACAACTGCCATGCCTCGTCAGTACTGCTGCCATAGAACTGCGTGTTTATGCCTGGCGTATGGAGCTCAGCTATCCTTGGCTTGTTCTCGCTATCCTGTTCTTGTTTTACCTCCCTCCATCCCGCCAGACCCAGGACATCTACCACTAGGTGCTCTCATGCCTGGAGTTAGGATCTCAGAACTGAACCCCTTCTTGCTTCATCCCATTCGTCTCGACCCTCTCCCCTTCTCTCTCTTCTCATCGCTCTCCCCTTCTCTCTCTTCTCATCGCTCTCCCCTTCCCTCTCTTCTCATCGCTCTCCCCTTCTCTCTCTTCTCCTCACTCTCCCCTTCTCTCTCTTCTCATCGCTCTCCCCTTCCCTCTCTTCTCATCGCTCTCCCCTTCCCTCTCTTCTCATCGCTCTCCCCTTCCCTCTCTTCTCATCGCTCTCCCCTTCCCTCTCTTCTCATCGCTCTCCCCTTCTCTCTCTTCTCATCGCTCTCCCCTTCCCTCTCTTCTCATCGCTCTCCCCTTCTCTCTCTTCTCATCGCTCTCCCCTTCTCTCTCTTCTCATCGCTCTCCCCTTCCCTCTCTTCTCATCGCTCTCCCCTTCCCTCTCTTCTCATCGCTCTCCCCTTCCCTCTCTTCTCATCGCTCTCCCCTTCTCTCTCTTCTCATCGCTCTCCCCTTCCCTCTCTTCTCATCGCTCTCCCCTTCCCTCTCTTCTCATCGCTCTCCCCTTCCCTCTCTTCTCATCGCTCTCCCCTTCCCTCTCTTCTCATCGCTCTCCCCTTCCCTCTCTTCTCATCGCTCTCCCCTTCCCTCTCTTCTCATCGCTCTCCCCTTCCCTCTCTTCTCATCGCTCTCCCCTTCCCTCTCTTCTCATCGCTCTTCCCATCCCACCAGACCCAGGACATGTACTACTACGTGCTCATGCCGGGAGCATAGGAGCTCAAATCGCAACCCCTTTCCCCAGTTCGCCATTCCTGAATCACCTCTGCACACTTCTCCCCGTCCCCCCAGACCCAGGACATGTACTACTATGTGCTCATGCCGGGTGCTCATCGCACTCTTCACACCAATGAGCCTCTGAATCAACAGCAGAACGATGGCTGGGAGGACGAAGGCAGCAGGACCACTCTGTCTGACCCTCTCCCTTGCCCCTCCCTTCCCTCTCACCATCCGCAGACCCAGGACATGTACTACTATGTGCTCATGCCGGGTGCTCAGTGCACTCTTCACTCCAATGAGCCTCACAATCCGCCTCTCAATCCGCAGCAAAAGGACGGCAGGGAGGACGCAGGCAGCAAGAGCAGTCCGTCTGGTCCTCGTGGGTTGACTGACGAGCCGATTACATATTTCACAGCTCACAGCCGGGTCAGGCAGGGTAAAGGCGGGGTGGGGGAAGGATGAAGGTTGGGGGGATGAGGGGAAGGCAAAGGGGGGTAAAGAGAAGGCAAAAGGGGGTTAAGGGAGGGGAAAGGGGGAGGTTGAGGAGGGGATGGTATGTTGCACCTTCTCCCCTTGTCTCCTTTGAAAAATACCCTCTCGTGTATCTTCCTCCCCTACCTGCCTTCTCGTGGGTGCGCATCCTCTACCTATGCTCTACCCTCACTCCCCTCCCCCTTACCCTCCCTCCTTATCCCAAGCTTATCGTGGCTATTTTTCTGAAAGTCCACCGTCTGCCAGTGGTTTCTCGAGACGTCTTTGAGACGTCTTTTCAGACGTCTCGAAAGTCCGCCGTCTGCCAGTGTTTCTAGCAGGCGTTGCACCCACTGTTTCTGTCCTCCGCCCTCCTTGCTCTCATATCATCGCCCACCTGTTTCTGCTGCCCTCGTCTCCTCCCGTTCCCTTCCACGCATCCCTGCCACTAACACGGTCGAAGTCCGCTCGGCAACAACTCCTCTCATCTCCTCCCCCACGCCTCCCTCAATCTCACCTGTGCTGGCGCTCACAAGCTATATGACCTGTGGCGCTCACTTAACTAGAGACTAGGACCGCTAGATGCATGCAGCTCCTCTCGTCCATTCCCCGCTACTCCCCCTTGCTCCCACAACCCCCCACAGCTGCGGGCACATCTGTTACTTCCTGATCCCTCAGTTCCTTTCTTCACCCTCCCCCTCCCTTTCGCTCTCTCAATCCCTCACAGCTGCGGTCACATCTGGAGGCAGTGGGGGATTCAGTGCTGGCGCTCACGTGTGTGCTGCACCTCGTGCGCCAGCACCCGCCGCTGTCCATTGTGTGTGGAGGGGGGGAGGGGAAGGGAAAGGGGGGAAGAGGGGGGGGGGGGGGGTGGGGGGGTGGGTGGGTATTTGTGTGTGTGTGTGTGTATTTGTGTGTGTGTGTGTGGGGAAGGGGGGGGGGGGGAGGGTGCGTGCGTGCGTGTGCTTGGTGTGTCTATGTGGTGCGTCCCATTCAGTGCACCATGTACTGCTCTCCTGCTCCGCTCGTCTCCTCTCTCGTCTTGTCTCGTCTCCTCTTGTCTTGTCTCGACTCCTCTCGTCTCTTCTCACGTCGTACTTTCATCTCGTGCTATTTGGAAGCGGACTGACTTCTTTCCTCACTCTCTTCCTTGTTCCTATCCCATCCCCGGCCCACGCTATGCTTACCAGGGCGATCTCACATCACGGAAAGGCAAGCTTGTAAGACCCTCTATTCCATTCCCTCCCTTCAAGCCCCTCCCTCCCTCCTCAATCCCCTCTCCCCCTCGCTTCAATCACCTTTCTTGGATTCACTCTCGACGATTCCGTCTCATCAATCCCCGCTCGCCATGTCCCCTTTCTGCGTCCATGCATACTTGCACATCTTCCCTCGCCTTCTTGCCTCCCTTGCTCCTACCCTTCATCCTCCCTCCCTCCCTCCCTCCCTCCCTCCCTCCCTCCCTCCCTCCCTCCCTCCCTCCCTCCCTCCCTCCCTCCCTCCCTCCCTCCCTCCCTCCCTCCCTCCCTCCCTCCCTCCCCTCCCTCCCTCCCTGTCTCCCCCCAGCCTCCACTCGCCCTTCATATCATGCTCACCATTCTCCCTCCCCGCATTCCTTTCTCAGACCATTCCACCTTGGCATCTCCATCTCTCTCAAACTCTCCACCCCTCTGCGCTCTCCTTTAACGCATCAGGCGAGTTCCCAGAGGGCATGTGTGCGTGGCATCTGAATTCCCCCTCTATTCCTCTTTCCCCATCTTGTCCCCCCTTCCCTTTCCTGCCCCCTTTCCCTCTCCTGTCCCCATCCCGTCCTCCTGCTCTCCTTCCCCTTTCCGACCCTCTTTCCACTCCTGCCCCTCATACCCTTCATTACCCCCATCTTTTTCACTCTCCCGTCCCTATTCCCCCTTCTGTTTCCCTTCCCCCGCCAGGTCCCATTCACAGACCGCCACTAGTGCAGAGATAATCTCTAATGTGACTCTCATATTGTCCTGTTTCCCTCCCCCACCCTCTCCCCCTCCGTCCTGTCCTCGCCCCCCTACCCCGTTTTCCCATTCCCCCACCCTGTCGCTCTTCCCCCCCCCCACACTGCAACAGGTGAGCAACAGGAGTCTGGCGGGCATAGGAGGGGGGGCTTTTGAGGCGCCTCAAAACTCTTCCCCCCCCCCACACTGCACCAGGTGAGCAACAGAAGTCTGGCGGGCATTGGAAGGGGGGCTCTGGGCCTGCCAGGAGTCATGCTGAGCTTCTCAGACGCGCTGCTCATGCAGGGCAAACGCGCCGTGCCCAAGGGGGGGGATACTGTGGAGGTATGCTAGGGGGTGATACGGTGGAGGTATGCTAGGGGGTGCGGGAGCGGGTGTGGGAGCGGGTGCGGGAGCGGGTGCGGGTGCGGGTGCGGGTGCGGGTGTGGGTGTGGGTGTGGGTGCGGGAATGTGAATTGTTTTCAGATCATGCCACCATGTCTACCATGTGATGGTACCATGAGAGGGGACTGTTTGGTGTTGTATGGTGTTACTCTGGTGTGGTGGTAACCGTGCAATCAAGCAGAGGTGCCTTAGAGAACAACATCATCTTCTTTTCCTTACTTCTTCTGAGGCGCCTCAAAAGTCCCTTGCTTCAGACTGCTTTTCTGCTGTGTGTCTGTGTGTGATCCCATCTTCTTCCCGTTACTGCAGTCCTCGTTAGTTGCCTGCACAATGGAGGCACTTGTTGGTGCTGTTTACGCAGAGAAGGTACACACACCCTCACACTACCCTCGCACCCTCACACACTGCCCTCACACACCACCCGCACACACCACCCCCACACACCACCCGCACACACCACCCGCACACACCGCCCTCACAGAAAGAACTCTAAGCTGCCAGCACGTCGTTCTGATCACCACTGCTGGTACCGCATCATCAGGAGGTCGGCTGTTTCATTTGCCATCATCAAAACCCATGTCGCACCACCCCAACACCACCCTTACCACCCTCACAGCAAGAAATCCACCAAGGCAGCACCGCTTACCTCTAAAATAGCATTGTTTGCTTTTCACCTCCGCTGATAGTGCATCTTCAGGGGTTCAGCCATTTCATTTCACTAACTCATTTGCTCCCACACCACCCAAAACCCCCGTTCAATCAACTTATTGCATGCCTGCCTGTCACTCCCACAATTAATCTACCCACTCAACACACATGCCCTATCCATCCCCATCCCTAATCAGCCCCCTCCCACTCCCTATCCCCCTCCCCCTCCCCCTCCCCCTCCCCATCCCCTTCCCCCTCCTTTAACCTCCCCATCCCAATCCCCCTGTCTCCCCCCGCCTCCCCGCCCCCTTCCCCCCATCCCCTCCCCCCTCCCTGTCCCATTTTCCCCGCCCCCTTCCCCCCATCCCCTTCCACCTCCCTGTCCCATTCTCCCCGTCTCCTTCCCCCGATCCCCTTGCTCCTCCCTATCCCATTCCCCCTGTCCCCTTCCCCGCATCAGGGCCTGGAAGCAGCGTCAGCCTTTATGACCCGCCTGCTGCCCTCCCTTGTCGACTCCCGCACTGCTGCTCCTCACACACAGAGGCTGGAGTTTGGGCGTCAGTATGAACAAGAATCCGGGCATGTGCATGGGCATAAGCATGGGCATGAGCATGGGCATGAGCATGAGCATGGGCATGAGCAACAGCAGCAGCAGCAGATTCAGCCAGACAGAGAGAGCAATGTGAAAGTGGGCGATGCAGCAGCAGTGAGGAGAGTGGACTCTCCAGCAGAACAGAGTGACCCGGTGGCTCGTCTGCACGACATGTCCCTCCAGCAACTGGGACTCACACCGCAGTACCGGTACGTGTGAGGGTGGGAGGGCGATGCAGCAGCAGTGAGGAGAGTGGACTCTCCAGCAGAACAGAGTGACCCGGTGGCTCGATTGTACGACATGTGTCTCCGGCACCTGGGTTTCGTCCCTCAGTACTGGTACGTGTGAGTTTAAACGTGTGGGTTTAAACATGTGCGTTTAAACGTGTACGTGTGAGTTTAAACGTGTGAGTTTATTGAGTTTGTAAATGTGTGAGTTTAAACATGTGCGTTAAACGTGTGAGTTTAAACATGTGAGTTAAACTTGTGAGTTAAACGTGTGAGTTTAAACATGTGAGTTAAACTTGTGAGTTAAACGTGTGAGTTTAAACATGTGAGTTAAACTTGTGAGTTAAACGTGTGAGTTTAAACACCACCGAGGTGGAAAGGGTCCAGCGGGGCACTCCGGGTCACATCTTCACTGCAGTGACTTGTGAGTCAACTTAGAAGCCACGACGAGTCAAGAATCGAGGGCCTTCACATCACAGCCGTAAGTGCACCTCTCTCTGTCTGCTGCAATGCACCTTCCTGCTATGCACATCACATCCACTGCTCTGTGCATGTGATGATATGGCAAAGGGCTCAAGGGTTGCTTGTGGGATGCGTCAAAGGTCAAGGCTCACGATTGGCTGCTCATTTCCCCTCCACATGCCCTCTCACTGTCTCTCAGGCAGAGGTGTTTGAGGAGCATTCTCCCTTCACGTCCTTTTACCCCGCGCCCCCTCAACCCTGCACCCCCTTGCCACGTCGCCCTTGCCACGTCGCCCTTGCCACGTCACCCTTGCCACGTCGCCCTTGCCACGTCGCCCTTGCACCCCCGCACCCCCTCGCTGTGCGAACACATCACTAATGACGAGCAGGCACACGAGCGCCCCATGTGACGGAGAGAGTGTGAGTGTATGTGGCGTGCAGGATCATGGGCACAGGCATGGGCTTGTCTCTGCTCAAAAATACTCATTCCTCTGTCAAGCCCTCTCCCTGTCTCTCAGTCAGTAGTGTTTGAGCCACCCAAACCCCCCCTCCCCATCCCTGGTCGCCCCCCTGTGAACACACCTCGTTCATGGCAAGCAGGCATACAGGGCGGACAATTCGGGACGGCCCAGGTGACAGAGAGAGCGAGTGTATGCAGCAGGGAGGAAGATGGGCACGAGCATGGGGGCCATCCTGCTCCAATACATTCATTCCTCCTTTCCCCTTCCACCTCTCACCATGTGAGCACAGGCACACAGGGACAGACAACCCACAGACGCCCCACGTGACAGAGAGGGTGCGAGTGTATGCAGCAGGGAGGAGGATGGGCACGGGCATGGGCCCGACAGTGGCAGAGGCAAAACGAGATGGAGCAGCCAAGGCTCTGCTGGCATGGGGTAAGGTGTTTGGGGAGGGAGGGAGTGAGGGGGCAGGACGCGAGGCGAGTGAGAATGCTGAGGAAAGGATCAAGTGAGGACGGTACTACCTTACCCTAATCGATCTCATCTTGTGGTGATTCCGGAACTGTATGATGTGGTTGTTCCGGAGTTTGGTTGGTTTTTTGGGCGCAGCTCATGGAATGCCTAATCCAGAGCATGCGGCGCTGCAACTGTGTTTATTGGGTGATTTGGTATCCGAGCCTGAGATTGATCACAAGTTGAGTTGAGGGAGGATGGGTGAAATGAGAGACTGGAGGTTGCAAGACGTGTAGGATTGAAGGCCTTAGCGTAAGATGGAAGCTATAAGATGGAAAGCTGCTTTCACACAACAGGCAAGGGTATGAAAACGAATCAAACTAGAGCAAAACACATGGATAGCGTTAAAACTATCAAGCCTGCTATTCATGTCACGCTTACAATCGCAGCTCAGGTCAGGGCCAGCGCTTTCACTCCCTCGCCAATCCAGTCCAGCAGTGCTTGTTCATGAATCCCGCAATTGGCCACTCTGGCTAGAAGTATTGCAATGCAAGAGAATGCGATACATGGTACTTCTACTTGAGTGCGTTACAGGCCGCCAAACACCATGTCCTCTGCAGTGACCACCGCCCTCCCTCGCACGCGAAATGGTACGTGTCCGCGGCTCTTCTCCTGTACCTCGACTGCTGGATAGCACCCACCAAACTGCTGCCCCATCTGCTGGTTGCTGCTGCTAATGCTGCTGATGTTGCTGTTACTGCTGCGGATGCTGATGCTGCTGTTAGCGCTGCCATTGCTTCTTCCGAATCTCCTGACTGGTGTGCTGCAGACTGATTCTAGCACTTCGCAGAAGGCCTGGTGATTCTGCTTAGCATCCGCAGCAGCTCCTGCGCTGCTGTTGCAGTTGAACCAATGCTTGCCAGCCTTGTTGAGATCGCCAGTCCACGACTCCAGGTTAGCACAGCGACTCGTAGCACACCAGCAACGATGCATCAGGTGGGAAGAGCAGCTCTCCTGGGCGGCAGCAGACGTGAATGTGTATGCGGCGGCGGCGGAGGCGGCGGGGTCGATTTGTCTTGGATTTTCTGGGACAGAGTTGGTGTTTTTTTGTCCTGGGCGGCTGTGGCCTCTGGTTGCGCGGGAAGAGCAGCGTGGTGAGTCAGCAGATGGGGATGGTGGGGGGAGTGGGGATGGGGATGGGGTATGCGTAGCAGCAGATATGAAGGGTGGGAGGGAGTGTGCGTGGTTTAGCGAGTGAGGGGAGTGTGTAGCAGAGGCAGTCGTAGGGTGACCGCCGTCCCCACAGTAGGCGCAGGGAGTGTGGTAGAAGGAGGATGAGGGGAAAGGGGACAGGAATTCTGGGTCTTGTACGCCTGCTGTGCAAGCTGAGAGCACTGACAGTGAACCCGAGAATTCTGAGAGCGTAGAGAGTGCACCAGATGATGCTGAAAACGCTGAAAGTGGGCCAGAGAATGCTGAGAGCGTTGAGAGCGAATCATCTGACGGTGCAGCAGTAGTCACTGAAATTGTCTCAATTTCAGCAGAAATCCCAGCGTCGCCACGACCGGAAAAAGGGGTCCCATGGTTATGTGGAGCCGGGAGCGCCAGGGGCGGCTGGAGGAAGTAAACGTGGCCGGGCTTTAAGACGTGCTGCGGACGCAGGAAGCCGTGCGTTGACGCGTTCAGCGACCCCACCTGGCAGCCCGGGTGTTCCTGAAGCACATCGCTCACGCGCGTGGCCCTGCGATTCGGAGCATGATTTCCGCGGGGTATTGAATTGCCAGACAATGAAATGCCAAAGCATGAATCGTCGGGAGTTGAATTGACGCCCGTCAGAGTCGAAACGCGAAATGATGGGTTTCGGGCGCCATTGCTAGTGTTCTTCCTTCCCACAGTGAGGGTGCGAGTCTGACTCCCAGTCTGGCTGTGTGAGGAGGACGGCGTCTTGGCCTCCTGCGACGGACATATTGGGACGATTTTGACGGAGCCGTCCGGAAGCAGCAGAAGCGCCGGCTCGACGCACGGGCCGTCACGGCCCTTTGAGGGCTCCTGGCGCTGCGGCGTGCTTCGCGCGCCGCTGCTCGGCGCGCCGCGACTGGCGCTCAGCACGTCGCGCGTCAGCCGTGACCATCTGGCGGAGAATTTCGTCGCGAGAGGCCGCGGCTCCGCGCTCACGCCCGAGGACGAGACCAAGGCTCGTAGTTCCCCCTCCGAAGCTGTCGCGAAGGTGGAATTGGCGAAATTTGACGAAGACGACGGGGCCAACTTGGTGTCGTCGCGTGCGCACATGGCGGCCACTTCGAAGCAACAGGACTGTCTAGAATATCCGAACTTTCCTGAAACGGAAAAATCGACTCGATTTCGGAAGAATTGTAAGGGTTTGCTACGGGAGGAAGAAGCTCGGAGCTTGAGTCAGGCTCGGAGCTTTATAACGCCGAGCAGGCGTTACAAACTTGACTCAAGTTTCCTCGGAGCAAGCACAGAAGCCTCCACCCTGAGGGTGGCGTACATAGAAAACCTTCGCGGCTGCATAGGCCGGTCTCCTTCCTCCTAGCTGCATTCCATTCCATTCCTACTGACAGCCGGCTGTCAGAGCGAATGATGCTACAGCCTCGGTTAACGGCTCGGTTGGAGTCCGAGGCATGGTAATGGTGGTTTGGGGTCGCGGCTTTTGGGAGAGGAGGTTAGGTTACGTGCTGCAAGCTGGTTTGGCGTGCCGATTCGTGCACGAGCCCAGACTACAGCCGGCAGGCAGCATATAAGCGCTCCAGCAGAGTGAGTACACTACGTCACGTATTGCGGATGTTGCGCATTAGCGAGGGGTATATGGTTAATATTCACACTCCAGGGTATACTAGGAGGGTGTTTAGACCATCGCTAGTTTGCGTGCATTTTCAGGGGCTTGGTCGATGCCATTACAGGTATCTGCCAAACCAAGCAATCACATCCATTCCAGACGACTCGCATACTAATAACAATGATTTAGGTGTACTCTACTCCTGCTGCACCATCACCTTCCCCATCACCACCATCACCATCCATTCCGCCCAACTTCCTCCAAGGGGTTTGTGCTAACCACCTCATCTGTCCGCCATTTATGGGATGGAGTGGAGTGCGAGTGGAACAGAAATCGTTGAGGGGAAACTGTCACTGTTAACCTGTCTGCCACAACGAAGCATAACGTTCAAAACGAGTCCAGCCAAAGTGCGTTGGAAAGCACGCTACAGTAGAAATGAACTTGCTTTGTTGGAAATTCCTCGCTGGTTTATTGGTCAACGAAAATCCAATGACCTCATCTGCACATGTGAATTTACTACAGTACTCCTTGTTGGTGTTGTCGGGCCACGTGCGCACCCACAAGTTTGCACACACATGCTGCCACGCGGTCAACGTGCAGTAATATCCTGGAAAGAGTTCCTCAAGTCGTGCAGAACGACAAAACGCGTTTTGCACTAATGAGTACCGACTGTATCTTCTTGTACGACGGTGGCAGTTCGTTTGCTGTTTGTGCCCATATTTCAAGGAAATCTTATGCTCTACTTTGTAAGATCAGGCAGTACATTGCATAGCAATCTGCATAAGATTATGGAACTTGCTGATTTTACGTAGCTGATGAGCAAAGCTGCTGCTTCCACAAAAACAGCCTAACTACAACTGCAATTCAGACTAAAGAAGAACATGGCTATGGTTCAAATCATCAAACCATCAAATCGTGAAGATATTGTTAGAGGGCCCTACGACAGCAAGGGCCCTCGATGACCTTTGACTTGGCAGGTCGGCACCTAACAACTGAGTCTACTCGGCACCGACGCACAAGTTCGGTGGCGGTCATTAGCGACTACGGGTGACTGTGAGCTACTGCAGCGAACTCGGCGGAATCGGTGCTAGGAATGACGAGTCTTGGGGGTCGTAGGTGCCTTGCTTGTGAGGCATGCTGCTCACTTGCTGTGTTGGCAGGAGTAGCGTGCACGGTGAGACATTCCGGTGCCGAGTTGGGTTGGAAATGTGCGGGGCGCGTTCACCCACCTGCACAGCACTTTCGTGTGGGTTGGGTTACTCGCAGCGCCACGCAACAATTGTGAAACTCTTGCTTGCCTATATATGTTTGTGTTTGCTTGTGTGTTATAGAGTTGATATTGCAATTCTACTTGGCCCAAATGCTACTTCAATTCTCACAAAGTCCTTAGAGGCAAACACTACCAAAACTCTACCAAGTTGCTGGCGCAACATCATTCCCATAGCAGAGACTCTCTCGCTATCGATACGCTCTCTAATATATTCCTTCATGGTGCGGTGAGCGTGGAATGAACACGCATAGATTTCCGTCGTCGTTGATATTTGCGTTCGTATACTCGCCTTGGCGTGCGGCGTTAGTGAAGGGCGCTTATTAATCTAAGTTGAACCTCTCTTGATTTCCCTCCAGTTACGTTCTCGGACCCAAGGATAGGGCGTTTGGTAATTTATTACCACTCGTCTGAGGACCCTTGTGAGGTGACCCCGAGACGAGGGATTTAAGGAAGGGGCACTTTATTTTAATTTGTGGTACCTTATAGAGACGTCGTAGAGGATGAGTACAGAGGAGGCGAACGTGGAGGCCGGTAATTTGCGCGCCCTAGAGGAGGATCTCGTGGCTCGTCATTCTCGTGGTGAGATTAGTGATATCGAATACGAGCTAATGTTGGAGGGATTGCGCTCGCGTCGGCGTCGTGAGCACCCTTCGCCACGTGTAGAGAATGTTGAGCAAGTTGCGGGAGGTACTAGTGCGTGGGATATGGCTGTCGATGGCGGAAACAGCGATGACGAGGAGTTTGATGGGTTGATGTCGCGTGGGGTCCTGCGAGGACCAACTCGGTTTAGTACGGCTAGCGTTGGCGGTGTACAGGAGCGTGTTCATCGTGCAGCAGCGTCACGAGAGCATGCGAATGTAGGACGGCAGAGCGTTGCTGGAGGAGGAATTGCGGAAGAGTTTGATAGTGAGGCTATGCCGGGCGTTACCCCAATTGGATCGATGTCGAGGGACGAGGGAATAGCCCCCAACTATGGCTACTTCAGATTCACT